TTGGAATACTCTGATCGGACTCCCAAAGCATTCTAGCAACTGCATTCTGCATTGGCTGTAGCCTCCAAACAGTACAGACCCACACCGAATGCATCCCGGTAGTCTAACCGGGATGTAAGCAAGGCCTGTGTCTAAGTCAGTTTTCTCCATATAGACGCAGCTGCCAAACCAGCCTGCGCAGTGAAAAAACACTGGACACATCTCCTGTACCGCTGTAGCCGGTGCCAATTCACAGCTGTGTGGACAGGCCTTCAGAGAGGAGAGGAATGGTCCCATCCAGAGAAAAATCAGACCTCCAGCAAGAGTCGCAGATTTCTAAACCCCCAGCATGTCTGTCTGAATGGGATCCAGCCGCACCCTGTCAGCCACCCTCTACTCCGGCCTATCGGCCTCTTAGGTACCTGCCCAGGATTTCAACCACTGTTGGAAAAGAGAAGCGAAATTGTGCGTCTCCCCCACGTTAAGGACACCTCTGTTCGACCGCTCGAAGATTTTTCCAAGCAGTGTCCACAGTTGCTGGAAACTATGTGGAAACAAGACAGCACCACTTTCTGAACCTGCCCCCACCTCCAAAGGACCCGAATCACACGGTACCACTGCCTCCACGCCTCATCCCAGATGGAGACGGTCCAGAGGGATATGGGATTCAAAAGCACAGAAAGCTGCAGAGAGGTCTCTAGGCCTACATCTCCACACCTGTATTCACCAGGTAAGGCACCCACCAGGACAACCTGCACGGTGTCTGTCCCAAATGCAGACACGTGGCTCAGAGATGGTAATTTGAAATTGGGTGATTCCCCAAAGCCAAGGAGTCCCGAGCAGCAGATCTGCACAGCCCAAAGTTCTCCAGATTCCATACTGAAACTCATTCCATCCTGAGTCAGCAACAGCTTGGTCATTTCTTTTCACATGAAAACACATGCAGATTTTGGGAGATATTTTCTATACCTATGCATCAGATGCATGCCTCTCTGAAATATATACATGTTGCCGAATTCATTTTTTGGAGCCTGCGAATTACACTCCAAGCTCAGAAAGCTACAGATTTTGACAGCAACTTCTGTCCAAGCCCACATTCAGTCCGGAAAGTGTCAGCTGGGTCAAACCCCATCCAAAATGTGGTGCAACATATTTTGGACACATCCCTAAAGATTGAAATCCGACTTCTTCCATAGTGGTTTGGGTACTGCCTCCCTCAGGCCTGCTGGGGCTACTGCATCCTTTGATAAACTGTTTACCGCCTCCAGTATCTATATTGCAAACTCAGTCCTAGAGGATTTCACTAGCCAGCCAGGTCAACAGATGGGGCAGGCTGTGGTGGAGGAAGAAAAAACAAACCAGGCTTGCCCACGACAGAGAGAATAACCACAGCTGGGCATTATCTATATTGCAAGACAGCAAAATTCTTCAAAATATGCAAGCTTTCAGGTCCTCTTCATCTGCCATGGCTACACTTTACCCTCAGTTCTGCCAAAACTACAGCATCCGGGTTAGGGCAATTCAAACCGATTATATCTGCAGAAATGCAATGAAAATGGGCTGCTGTTTATGGCTACGGACGAACAAAGTTTCTTTGCCAACATCACTACCGGAGAGGAGGCCGTAAAACGGCGTGTAGGGTGTGTTGGGTCATTTTTGCTTCAAGTCTTCCACTTCCGACATTCTAGTAATGAACATTTTGCCTTTTTCTCCATTCCTAGGAATACCAATACTCTGATCGGACTCCCAAAGCATTCTAGCAACTGCATTCTGCATTGGCTGTAGCCTCCAATAGGACTTGATTGTCTGGCCAAGGACCTTCAAAAGTGGTCACATCAGCTGGGCCAGGACTGGGCAGAACCGCTGGCCAACTCTGTGGGAAACTGGAAGCAGAGGGCTGCAGCCCCACAATAAAATGACTCCATGATTTTATTGATAGATCAGGGAACCTTTTCAAACCCTCAGAGGCAGCCTGAAAATTAATGCCGCAGCATCCTGACAGCCACAATATTTCAGATAAAATACTTGCTGCATCTTGTCCATTCTGGTATGGTACCCATAAGGGGCATATGAAACCCGGGGTCCTTCTTTTGCAGACGCAAAATACTGGCTACTCTGCCGATGGGGAATTACTGCCCCCTAATGGACACAAATGGTATTTTCCCGCTCCAAATACGCTTTCCCTGGTGAATTTACTGAATGGCACCTTCATTTACTTCATGGTACCCAGACCTGAAGCCTGGAAAAAACATCTCCCAGGTAACTGAAATGTATTTTGATGCTGAAAGGGGGCACTGGTGACGCTCAGCGCCTTCGTCTGCTTCCTAGAGACGGAACCGATCTACGTGGCGCTCCGGGAGGCTGGCCGCCTCCACATCGCGCCGCTTTCTCCAGCGAAGGGCTGCCCTGCGGTGCTTGGTTTTGTGCTTGACCGGCAGCCTGAGAGGTTAATTGCATGCTTTTTTTTTTCTGTACAGCAATAAAAGAGCAAGGAAAGTTTGACCTGCTTGATTTCTGTGTGTCGCCCCCATTCTATGAACTTGGGTCCAAGAAGAAAAGGTGCTGGGAATAGGAAAGATGGACCTTCCTGGCCACACACACACACAGCTGGTTGAAGCTGATGAAGCAGCGGTAGACTTTGGACCCAAACGCACAGGGCTGCCTCTCTGTGTTTGCCCTTGCTCTGGAGGCCCAGGGGGCCGGAGGTGGGGCAGAGCACTCGCGCAGAGGGGCATCCCCTTGCATGGAAGGGCTTTGGGGCAGCTCCGGGCTGTTGGCATTGCAGTTCGAGCTTCCAGAAAACTACGTGCGGCAAGTTAACCCTTTGCGCAGGGGACGGCAGAAGGAAGAGATCTGTGGGTAGAGCTACAGACCGGTGCCTGGCCGCCTGGCCGCCGGGCAGATGGTTGCAGCTTTCTCTCAGACTCAGTGTTTCCCGCCCTGTAACACCTTGTTAGTATTACAAGTGTACCCCGCCTTTCTTCCTTCTGCAAGAAACCCCCGTGGTTTACAAGATTCCATTCCTCACACTTAGCCTCACAACGACCCTGTGAGGTAGGATAGGCTGAGAGTCCATGACTAGCCTAAAGTCACCCAGTGAGTTTTTGTAACTGAGTGAGAGCTAGAACCCAGCTTTCCCGAGATCCTACACTCTTGCCACTGAGCCAAACTGGGCACTGTACTCCTTTTTCTGTATTAACATGCGAAAGAATGCCCCCTTTTCTATTTTTTATTCATTTTTCTCCTGCTTTTATGTGAGCCACTTTGGGGATCCTTCAGGGGGATAAAAGCAGCCCATGAGACTCTTATTATGGAATCCATGGCAGGTCTCCCCAGGAAAATGCTTCGGGGGAACTGGTAGCCCGATCCACCCCATTGCCTCTGGCAGCCACCCAGACCAGCGGGACGCCTCAGCTCCCATGGGCCCCAGCCAACAGCTGGTTTGGGGTGATGAGAACGAGCAAATAACTATCGAGCACATTTGGGGAGCACCAGGTTGGAGAAGGGCAGCCTACAGCGCTTCCACTTGGGACGTGCGATTTGAGCTTGCCATCATCCCGACTCAAGTCTGCATCAGGTTGTGAGCGGTTTCTCTCCCTTCCCTGCGATAATCCCTCTCTTTCCATATGCATTTTTCCAAATATAAGCATCTGTTGTTAAGGCTGTCAAGTTGCTTCTAGTTTATGGAGAGCCTCTGAATGAATGATCTCCAACATGTTACCCATTTAGGGCTCCTTGTCAGCTTCACTGTCATCTACCTGGGTGACGTTGGGCCAGTCACAGACTCTCAGCCCAACCTACCTCACAGGGTTGTTGTTGTGGGGATAAGATGGAGGAGGAGATGTAAGCTGCCTTGAGCCCTTGGTAGGAAAAAGGCAGGATATACATCGAAAAAAAATAAAATAATATATGAGTTCTTTCCCTGTTGCATAAAATGTTTCGCTGCACATTTTTCAAAAGGATGTGTTTTTCCTGTGCATTTCTGAAATGCATGCATGCAGTTGAACGTGTCTAGTCTGCAAATTGCATTGTAAATTTGGAAATGTAAGAACTTCGACCACAGATGGGGCCTGGGCCCTGAGCTGGCCTACAAAGAAAGAACGGAGGTGCATTTCGTGTACATTCCTAATTTATAACCTTTTTTATGCCGCCTCAAGAGGCTCTCCAGAAAGACTTATAAAAAGAGAAAACAGGCTAAAAATGTAGGGTTGAAAAGAGTTAGGCTTTTAAAGATGCACCTGGTTTTTCAGGGACTTGATACCCATTCTTTTACAGGGTCATTCTTCATTGTATTTTTAGCTGTTTAAAAATTGTTTATGGCCCTTATATTTTGCATTTTTATGGTATTTTATTATATTGTTTTTAAGTGCTGCTGTAAGCCATCAGTTCTTGGATAGTACAGAAACTAAATTTGTAAGAATAAATAAAATTAAATGAGAATAATTACCGATCACCTGTTCCACCTCCTGAGTCAAATGACCTGCTAACAGACTGTGCCATTAAGTCCTGGGTTAATTCCTTTGTCAAAATATCACAATTCCGCTTGCTTTTCAGTTTGGAAAGTACAAAAAGTCAAACCAATTCAAAAAGGGAGGTTTCCTACCTGTGTGGCATCCTGCTCCAGCAATGATCTGCTCCAGCAATGATCTAGCGCTGCCTATCATCCCCCACCCACCAAGAGGAAAAAAGGTTTAGGGAAATAACATCACTGGCCACAAGGGGGCACTGCTGTAACAAAGACCAAGACTGCCCCCCCCCCCCCGCAAATTCATTTGAAGGCAAAATTCTGCATAAAGAAAAGTGTGGCGAGTTTTGAGGAGGTCAGAGGAGAAGAAACCTTCAGGAAAACTAGTTTAATTTGAAAAGGCCGACATATTAATATTTGGGTTTTATTGTGGTGATACCCAACTGCTGTTCCGATTTGCCCTCGGACTGAACCGACTGCTGCGCTGCAAACTGCCCTGAGACAGGTATTAGAAGGGTGGCTCGGACGTGCATTAAAGAAGTAAGAACACAGAAAATGAATGGTTTTAATTTTATAAGCAGCTTCAGATATTTCACAGAAAGGAGGGATACAGGTGCGGAAAGTATAACGTGGCACAAGGAATCGAGGTGCAGGAAAAGTCTGTGTGTTTAGCGAGAAAGCCCCATGGTGCTTTCTTCTCTGAACACACCCGGACTGCACAAGACGCTTTCCTAAAAGACAAGAGAGCCCTCCTTTTATTTATCTTTTATATTTACATCCCTCCTTTCTCCCCTTGTAGAATTCAAGGTGGGCCCCTGCGGTTCCCAGGTGGTCTCCTCTCCAAGCACAAGGCAGCCCAGCTGTGCTTTGCTTCCAGGGCCACCTGGGCCTTCAGACCATACGAAGCAGCCCTCCTTCGCAGAGCGGCTACACCTGAAACTCGTTAAGCGGAGCAACTGGCACATTTCCACAAAGACGACCTTTTCCTACCCTCCTTTGTGGTTGGCTCGCTTAGCAGGAGGCTGGTGCACAGAGGAGCTCTCCCTCCATCTTCTCCTGCACCGGAAATAGACGGGAGGTTTTCAACAGTGCTGGCCCACATCTGGCCCACCAGGTGTTGTGAACAGCAGCTCCCATCAGCCCCAGCCAATGGTGAAGCATGATGGGGTCCCTCTGCTAAACACACACCATCCCACTGCTGCACTGAGCTGCTTCTGGGAGGCAGAGAAGCAGGCCGGGCTGTTGTTTTACTGGCTGATGGCCACCCTGCTTGGAGGGCTCCTCTGGGCATTGAAAGAGAGAATACAGAGCCAGAGCCTGAAACTACAGTTGCTGGCTTTGGTGGCAGAAATATGGTGCTTGCTGCCTCCCTGTGGGAGGCAGCACGGGGACAAGAGCTAGCTGGCGGCTGCGGGGGCAGGACGGAGGCCGATGGGCTGCAGGGAAGCCGGGGCAATACCTGGCACATTGGATGGATCGGCTCCAAACATGAAGGAGTCGATTCCCTGGCTCCCAACAGCCATGCAGCTCAGCAGTGTGGATGAGAAGCGGGGACTGGGAGGCAGGAAAGCCCACTGCAGGCTTCCCCGCTGCTTCCCGCCCCCAGGTCCCCCCTTAGTGCCAAGCCGGAGGGGGCTGCCTCTGCAGGGGGGGGCTCTTCACACCCAGCCCGCTGGCTGTGTGCTGCTTCAGATGGTCCCTCCGTTCCCGAGCTCTCCGGTTCTGGAACCAGATCTTCACCTAGAAACAAGCAGTGGAAATGGCAGGTCAGGCTGGAAAATTAGCAGATGTTCTGAGAACAGCACTTGCATGCAAACCGGTCCTCTCAACGGACGCAGTGAGGACTCCCCCGTTCTTTTCCATGGGGTCGGGCACTGAGCGTGTCCCGGAAACAGCCGTGCCCCGGTCCTCCGTGAGCCGCCACGGTCCGTGGGCTGATGCAGCCTCTGTGGCAGAGCAGTGCCTGGGAGGAAATCCACAGCCGTTTGCTGGACATGGAAGGAAACGGTCCTTCCCGCAGCACGGAACCACCCAATATTAATTAAAAAGCCCTTTCCTATGCTAACTAAGCCCTCTCTGTAGGTTCTCCTCAGCATAAACCTGCTTGATGGTGGGGGGGGGGGCAGTCATTAACGGGGCTTTGGCTATTTAAAGGTATAGAAATAAAATGGAACAAGATAATTTCTCAAGTGCTGAGGTCTCTTCCTGTCCAGAGGGGTGACATGGAGGCTCACCTGGATCGGCAAGGAGAGCATCGCCGTCTACCCCCTGGTGAAGAGGGTTTTTTTTTTTTTTAATTCTCCCCAAACCTACAAAACCCCCAAACTGACATCTTATTATTCTGCAAAGCAAGCAAAGCTGGTGCGGTCACTTTTCTTGCCAGGCAGCTGTGAGGTCGGCGCTTGCCGTCCCGTCCCGCCGCTTCTGCAACCCTAGCTTTCATTCCTTACGTTCATCCTTCTCTCTGCTGGAAAAGAAATTTTGCGCTACAGAGTAATTTTACAATCATCAGGCTTTTAGCGACATTTTATCATCTGATGATGCCCACGGATGCTCTTGTGGGGCGGCCGTATATAAACAAACAAACACACCTGAGGGGGATTTTTGAAGGATGCTGTTGCCCCAGCAGGAGTGCTGGGAAGGGGGCTGCCAGGTTAGCCCGGGTGGGCCGCACGAGGCCCCCACCGCAACGGAACGGCAACGGTCACCTTGGCGGTGCGCGCTTACCCGGTTCTCCGGGAGATCCAGCCGCAGAGCCAAGTCCCTCACTTGCCCGGGGCTCAGGTACGGGGTCTGTTGGAAGCTGCTCTCCAGCGCTCTCAGCTGAGCTGTGGAGAATGGGACGCGGGGACTGCAGGACGCGGGCCGAGGGCTGCCCGCCTGCTTCCGCTCTGCAGGGGAGAGCAGAGAGCATCCCATCAGCGAGGGATTGCACCCAGGGCATTCTGTTATTTTTTGGCCTCGGTCCGGCCAGGAAGGGGTGCCCTGATTCAGCCTTACTTGGACTGGAGGAGCGGGCGGCACAAGCCGATCCAGCCTCGCTTGGAAGGAAGGAAGGGGGCTTGAAGCGAGAGCAGCTGGTCCAGGCGGAGCCCTGGGGGGGGCCCAGCCCACCCTGCCGTGCCTCCTGGAGCTTCTTCCTGGCCTTCTGGTTCGGCTCCAGAACCCTCTGGGGCCAGGATGGAGCAGATGGAGAAGTCGGCGACGCGCCGAGAAGGTTTGGCCTCCGGCGTGGCGGGGAGACCCCTTTGCTCCAGGGGCTGCACCCGGGAGGCGAAGGCAGTGGCGGCAGCGGCCCCCTCTCTGCCAAAGCAAGGCTGCACTGAAGGAATCCCAGGACTGTCCAGGCCAGAGAGTGTCCTGTCGGCCATCCTTGCTGGAGACGGAAGGGCACCCCCCTGGGCAGGCCGAGGCGGGGGGTTCTGGAGGCGAGCAGGAGTGGAAACCGCTGTGGGAGCATCCGAGCACCACCTATTTAACCGCAGGGGCTGAGCTGGTGGGCACAGAGGGAGATTTGCAAGGGATTTACGTGGGACCAATCCACTGGCTGGCTCAGGAGGGATACGATTACCAGGCAGGGGCCATGCTTGGCGGGGGGGGGGCAAGAGAGGAGAGCTCCCCTGGATGCGAACATCTCCTGTTACGGGGCGGGGGGAGCTTCCAAGGGACACCTGATCCTCCAGGTCAAGAATACCTCCATCGCAGCCACGAGAGCTGCATCCCTTGTCTCTGCTTCACCCGTCATGTCTAAAGCGACTGGGCAGCTTGTGGGCCCTGCAGTCCCGCTCTCCCATCAACCGTGGACATGGCCCCCCCTCCACTGACTCGCTTCTGGGCTGCCACAGCCAAGGCTTGGAGCTTGGGGCAGACGGCCAGGGAGACGGCCAGCCCTGCCTGGTGTGCCCTGTTGGCCCGAGGAGGTGGCAGCTGCTGACAGCTGCCCAGGCGGCACGAAGAGGAACTGTCCCAGATATCCCAGCCACAGGACCGGGGACTTTTCTCCCCAGCACTCATCTGCCCTTGTTTGGTTCCACGCCAAACGTATGGCCCGCGTCCGCTGGAGCGGACTCTGCCGGGGAGGGTGTGGGTGGCCACAGGCCTCTCCCGTGTGCCGTCAACCTGGGCTGGGCCCCGCGGCTGGGCATGGCACTCCCCTCCACTGCCTCACCCCCCCAAATGGCCCTAGCCCTGCCCCCTTGCTGCCCCTTTGCCAGCGACTGCCCCCCAAAGTCCAGGGATGTTCCCTTCCCTCCCTCGCCACCCCACCTGCCCAGGCCTCCCTCCCGGAGCACCTGGAGTGGCCCACTCGCTTTTTCCACACAAGCCAAGCCCAGAACCCACCGCTTCCTCCCCGGGGATGCCTCTGAGCCCGCTCCACAGCCCCGGTGTGCTGACCCTCTTGGGGACTGGGGTCCCATTTAACACCTCTGGGAAGCGCCAGGGCGATCGTGGTGTCCCTCTCCCCACACCCCA